ATTGTTGTGCTTTTAACTATGTATGGTTTTCATGTTTTTGTAACTCTGTTTGTTTTTCCCCTCCCTTTTGAGTTGTGAGCCGCCCTGAGTTCCTTGCAGGGAAAAGAGCGGCATACAAATAAATGAAAATGAAAATGAATGAAATGACTGGGAGGGGAGGGTGAGAGGCTGAGCCAGCGAGTAGTAGGTTTATCCTACACGGAGCCATAGCCAGGGGACGAAAGAGCCATGGGTTGCTGACACCTGGCCTAGCCTATGCATTTGGGCAGGAAGCAGTTGTTTAGGAAGCTACCTCTGAAAAGAGTAAAGGAAAAAGGATATGTAAGCAAACCTTCTCTATAGCTGCCCCTCTGTTTTTGGAACATTGTAATCCAGGGAAGCATTCATAATTTTTCACCTTAGGGGCACAATGAAGATGTCATTATTGACCTAGGCGATAAAACCCATAGGTGGAACAGAATTTGACTAAATTAAATGGAGAGGCATTTTTGATGTGTAAGATTGTATTATTAACACGCTTCTCCGTTTGAACATTTCTAGAATTTCAGAGGTGTTTTTTTTTAATACAATTACTATTTCCTACCAATTTCTTTATTTTGCAGATATCTGATAATGAGAATAAAAACTCTAAAACTGAAGCCTCTGCTCCTCCTCAGGACAGACTGCCTGAAACTGCGGAGGGAGAGGATTTGGAGATGAGGGAACAAGACTCTTTCCTTCCAAATAGGCCATCTGTGTCATCATCACTTGAGGCTGCTTGTTCAAATGGGCAGTCCAGTGGAGGGAATAATGTAGGTATTTTTCAGTAGAAAATTGCTAGATAATTAATAGTTACTACAGTTCTGTGGGTTCTTCCATAGCAGAACAGTTTGAAATAGTATATGTTCACTTAACAGGGCGGCCTTTTATGAATAAATTAGGCCGGTTTGAGGCAACTCTGCTTTGTTCTGAGAAAACATGTTGTGCCACAGAAACAACACAGTTCTCTTCAAAGTGGTTTGTGCTGCTTTGTGGTCTCTTCCAGTGGATGGCCTGAAGAAGCTTCTCTGCATAAGCAGCATGTGTAGAGACCTCTTTAGGCTATTGAAACTGCTGGATGAAGCCTTAGAAATGAGGCAACGTAGCATTGTTACATCTAATTTTAGATGCCAGTGGAGATTTAAAACAGATTTTAAAAGATGGTTCACACAGATATTCACTGAAGGAAAGCAACCCCTTGAAGTTTTATACAGCCATAAAACATGTAAGATAGGTTAGAGAAATGATCATTATAACATAACAGGTATGTTATGTTATAACAGAATTTCATCTAAAAATACCAGGTGAAACTTGCAGTATTTTGAAACAGCAGCAGAGGGCGCAATATAGTAACATTTAGCAAAAGGACCTGCTTAAATAATAGGGTTCTAACAATAGATGTTGAAAGGATTTAAATGCTTTTGTCTTGCAAAGCCATTTGTCACACTAGGAATTTGCTGTGTTTCTGTGGCTGGAGATAACTGGATACAGGCAGACATTAAGCAGTAAAAAAAAATGCTAACTGCTTGCCTTGATCTGCTATGTTGACTGCTAGCTAAAAAGGTTCACAAGAAAATCCAAATTTTTCTAGTGTGTGCCAATATGACTAAGATCAGTTTTGTCAGGTCCTGAGCAACTTTATGGGAAGAGATATTTCCTGAGATATTCTGGCCTCAAAATGGCCACCAAACCTCAAGTCAATTTCCATGTTTCTCTAGGACACGGGTGTCAAACTTGCCATGTCACATGACGGATCGTGACATTTTGTCCCTTCATGGAGCTGGGGTGGATGTGGCCAGCACATGACATATCTGGCCTATGGGCTGCCAGTTTGACACTCCTGCTCTCGGAGAACTGTTATATTAGTAGCAACATTTGCATCCTTCATAATTTGGACCTGTACCTTTTCCTCTTCCTTGCCCCTCTATGCTTTAACTGAAGCCTTTGCCTCCACAATAGCACTTGGCCCTTGTTATTCTAGGTAGTCAATATGAAAATGGACTTAGAGATGCCGTAAGAAACATGGTTTTGAAACACATAGTTAGAATGTAAGAAAACACTTCTGGCCTTGATATCTGCCTCTTTATCATCTGTGTTTTTGCTATCCTATCCCTTAAAGTGAGCTTTATAAAGTAACTGCAGCCTTTAAAGATTAACACACACACACCACCCCCAATTATGATTTCATTGTTATGGTGGTGTTCTTATTGTGCATCCAAGTGTTTATAGAAAATATTGGTATATTCCTTTTAGAATCAAAGTACATACAGCTTAAAGCAGAAAACCTTATGCTTCTGCCCAAAAATTCTTGGTAGAATGTTCTTTTACAGTTACTATTTTAAAATGATTATTTTCTGTTGCATTGCCCTGGCTCTAACTTCTTCTGCAACTCCCATTAAGGATTCCTTCAGAATTCTCCAGCAGAATGCAAACTAATTCCACACCATCAATTATTTCAAAAGAAAGAACATTCTTGCTTCATATTCTTCCCCTCCATGGTTACCTGGAAAGATGCATTTATTTTTGCAACATGGGATTTGCATGCTATTTTGGATTAGCTGCATAAAGAAACACATTACACAAACTTTCTTACTGAGTGTCAAGGAGATTATCATATTTTAAAATTTTTATTAAACAAAGAAGTTGAATAGCCCTCTTAAAAGTTAACAAGTTTATCAGTAGTAGTTTCCCGTGACCCATCAAAACCATGTTCCACAAAAGCGCGGTCGATGAAATCGCGTATGTGACGTCATCACAACGCGACGAAA